ATATATAATATATAATATATAATATATAATATATATATAATATATATATATAATATATAATATATAATATATATATATATAATATATAATATATAATATATAATATATAATATATAATATATATATAATATATAATATATAATATATATATATATAATATATAATATATAATATATAATATATAATATATAATATATAATATATAATATATATGTATCTGTGTGTGTGTGTGTGTGTGTGTGTGTGCGTGCTTGCGTGCATATGTACATATATACATACACATATAAACGCATATACACATAGATATACACATATATACATACATACATTCCCTCTATTGTATTTTTCGGGTATTAGAGAGATGCCCTCTGATGGCCACACACACACACACACACACACACACACACACACACACACACCCTTCTTAAAAGGGTAACAGACTTGTGTGGCCCTCACCAGAGTCTTAAAATAGGCTATACCTATATTGCTGAATTATCCTCGTTGCATCAGCTTACAGTTTACAGCTTACAACCTTACATCAGCTGGCAGCCATTAAATCCTCAGTGCCTTGACAGGTATTCTGCCTAACAAGAATATTTCTGGCTTTGACGTCTATATATTTAAGCCGAGGTCGATGTTTTTTAATCACTGTTTTTTTAAATAAATAGTGATTTGTATCGCAGTTATTTTTTTAATTTTTTTTGTAAACTGACATTAAACCACCTTCCTTTCTAGGAAATTAAGGTGGCCCAGAAAGTCGCGCAGAAATATTCTTCCATGCCGGATATGTGGGCTAAATGCCTGCTTGGTCACTGCTACGCACTCTGGTTTATCACACTGCCCGCCTACGTCCGAATGGCGACCTCGAAGGTACAAGCGCTGCATGTCGCCTACGAGGTGCTGAAACAGATGGAGACCAAGGAAGTCGTCTTGCCAGACGAGGTAGGAGCCCCGTTTGCGTTGCTGCAGAGAATCTCCCCCTTCAGAGTCTTCGGGGTCTTTTTGTGCGGGTCAGAGGGGGGGCAGAAACCCCTCCTTGGGGTCTACTTCGGCTTCCTGGTGTAGGGCTTTGGCCGAAGGCTGGAGTTCAATCCTTGGGAGAGGCAGATATTTCTCTCTCTGGGCACACTGAGAATATATCTGCCGATTATAACTCCTCATTGGCAACAAGAGTGGCATCCGGCCACTCAGCTCCATTCAGTTGCCTGGACTCCACCCCGCAAGAGATTATGGGGTCGTTAAATGATGATGATGGTGCTCAATCGTTGATCTTATGATGTCAGGACGGACAGACTCCAATCTGGAGTCTGGAAGAGGGGGGCGTCTGTAGCCCTCCATATTTTGTAGAACTACAATTCCCAGTAACCCACGTTTCCCAATTAGGCATTTTCCCCACCATCTGTGGGACTCCCTGTTCATCCTGCTAGCCTGGCGCTTCCCAAATCTAAATAAATTACCCCAAAGTGGTTCGAAGTAGTTTTTCTTCGTGTAACCACGCGCACATTTGCCGACACAACGGGGATGTTTAAAGTGACCCGATAGCTGTACAATATTCGGAAATCTCCCAAAATATTCCCATGGCCTCCCGAAAACCGAAGACCCTACCACTCCAAGCTACGGTGTGGGAGAGGGCCCTATAAACAGTCCTTGAACTTTTGCTTTCGCTTTCACTTTCTCATAAGTGGTTCTGCCTGAAGAAGGAAAGCATTGGGAAGCATTGGGATACACACAGTGGGTGCGGTGACCCCAGGTGACCTCGCACCTTAGGAATTCCGGCTGGGATTTCCCGCTTAGGAATTCCCACTGGGTTTAACGGAAACGGAGAAATTGGCATCCATATCCCCCCCCCCCCGCTCTTCCCTTTTCTCGTTCAAAGGTGTGTTACCGTACTCTGATGCAGCTGTGCGGCCAATACGGGGAGCCGATACTCTCCGTCCAGGTCATGCTGGAAATGAAACGAGCCGGGATCGTCCCCAACACCATTACCTACGGCTATTACAACAAGGTATTCCCGCCCCCGCCTCCTCCTTTCTCCACCTTCTCCTGGGTTTAGCGTGTTTTTTGCAAGCAGCCAGGCGTTCTCGGGGGCACTTGAGGGGCACCTGTGCCATGCCGCGAGTTAAACCTGGCTTTCCCGTCCTACCCCACCTCTTTCGCCGTAGGCCATTTTGGAGTGTAAGTGGCCGTCCAGTAGCCAAGGAGGCCGCCTTCGCTGGGCCAAACTGCGGAACGTCGTCCTCGGGGCCGCCCAGTTCCGGCAGCCCCTGCGCCAGCGCCAGCGGGACGCAGACTCACAGAGCCTCAGCCCTTCAGCAGGTACAATTGTGAAAACAGGCAAGGCTCAATTTATCCCCCACCCAGAACACGACCTCTCCAGCCAACAGGCTTTAAGGTGGGGGAACTACAACTCCCAGAATTTTCCAGCAAGCATGCTTTAATATGGGTGGACTATAATTCCCAGAATTCCCCAGCTAGCGTCCTTAAGATGGATGGACTATAATTCCCAGAATTCCCCAGCCAGCATGCTTTAAGATGGACAGACTATAATTCCCAGAATTCCCCAGGTAACGTCCTTAAGATGGACAGACTATAATTCCCAGAATTCTCCATCTAGTGTCTTTAAAATGGATGGACTATAATTCCCAGAATTCCCCAGCTAGCGTCCTTAAGATGGACAGACTATAATTTCCAGAATTCCCCAGCTAGCGTCCTTAAGATGGACAGACTATAATTCCCAGGATTCCCCAGCTAGCGTCCTTAAAATGGACGGACTATAATTCCCAGAATTCCCCAGCCAGCATGCTTTAAGATGGACAGACTATAATTCCCAGAATTCCCCAGCCAGCATGCTTTACGATGGACAGACTATAATTCCCAGAATTCCCCAGCTAGTGTCCTTAAAATGGACGGACTATAATTCCCAGAATTCCCCAGCCAGCATGCTTTAAGATGGACAGACTATAATTCCCAGAATTCCCCAGCCAGCATGCTTTAAGATGGACAGACTATAATTCCCAG